AAGTTGGATAATGCCAAGTGTCAGCAGTGATGGAAGGGTACAGGAACCCTCATGAGTTCTCGGTTGGAGTGTGGACGGGACAACCATTGTGGAAAGCAATCTGGCACGTACATATTCATGACCCAGCCATTCTCCCTGGAAAGAGACATGTACGTCTCCAAGGGCCATGCATGAGGGTGCCCACAGCAGCATTATTCACAGGGGTCGTGGGGGGGGAGGGGGGTTGGAAGGAGCCTGAGTGTCCTCACTGGGGAGGAGACAGTAAACCGTGGAGGGGGCACACCAGGGGTGCCCCAAGCAACCATGAGACACCGTGAACTCCATGTGTCCAGAGTAACATGGGTGGATCCTAAAATCAGTGCTAAGCGAGAAAAGAATGCACACAGTCATGGGCATATAAATTAGAAGACACTTGCACCTGGGTGGCTCGGTCAGTGAGGCGTCCCGACTCTTGATTTTGGCTCAGGTCATGATCTCACGGTTAGTGGGATCGAGCCCCGTGTCGGGCTCTGCACTGACAGGCGCTTCTCCCTCTCTGCCCCTTGCGTGCGCGCTCTCTCTCTCTCAAAATAAATAAATAAAAACTTAAAAAAAAAAAGAAAAAGAAAACAAAACATGCACAGGAAGCAATGGTATCCATCCGACAAGAGCACAGCCAACTAAAAAATATGTTCAACATTCGAACATATGTGAATGTTTGCCAGTAGAGGGCACTGACAGAGACAGGGATATGGGGACATAAGGGAATAAATCAAATGTAAAACAAGAGCTATCTTGTGGAAAATAATGAGCTGAGGGAATGGAATTAACTCAACTCATGATGCCTGAGATCTGAAAAAGAGGACAGTGTAAGGGTTGTGGAGGATGATGAGCCCCAAATGTAGGAATGAAGTTGTCTCTGGGGTGAGATCAGGTGGCTTCAAATGCCATCTGCAATGTATGCCACTTGAAAAAGAAAAAAAAATCAAAATCTTCAGTGAACATAGAAAAATACTTACATTTGACAAAGCTGGTGGGGAGGATGTAGGTGTTTGTTACAAGTATTCTGTACATTTTCTTGTCTGCCTGGAATATTTCCTATCAAAATTTTTAGAAGACTTTCACCACTGACCATGGAAAACAAAACATCTCATTTTTTTTTCTTAATTTTAACGTTTATTTACTTTTGAAAGAGAGAGAGATACAGAGCA